TATATATATATATATACTGTAGCAGCTAATGTGCACTTGTAAACATTCAGACAATATGCATTAATTGGATAAGAATTTTAATAAGACAAAGGTGAAGTTATCAATCAGTTAAGTACAAGAAACTCTAGAAATATGAATATCACGATAAAAAGTGAAAAATGCAACGATTTATTGATCAAATTTTTGTTTGAAGAATTTTGTTTGTTCGAAGGTTCACTTATATGTAATTAAATGTAGGATATTTTCAAGTCATAAAAATAAAGGTTGGGTAAATGCGTAAACAGAGAGCCATGATATTGATAACGAAATGAGTCGTCACTCTGTAGACATCACTTTTGGTTTCGCAGTTGATAAGCAACAATGTTAAGGCTAGAATTTATCACTACATTCTAAATTAAAATGAACTAAACTAAATGTAGGATCAAAAAATTTTGTCGTTATTTTGAATAAAACAGTTTTGCATTCGTACGTTTCAATTATTGTTCTTTGTACGAAAATAAAAGTGAGCTAATTCAATCAGACGTTAATTCTTGACTCAAGGACAATTTTGGTTCATCAAGTATTCATCATGAAATAAATACTGTACTTCAGTCAGTTACGCACTTGAAAGTTTCTTTTAAATATGACTGTATGATATTTTCAAAACCTACAGAAATTTATTGCTTTTCTTTGATTTCAAGCTCTCAGATTTTTTTATATTCTGAATAATGAAGCAAGTTTCTGAAGACGAGTGCCTAACACGGTATTCTAATCAATATTCTATTCCTTGCTGTTAGACAAATCGAGGATGACCAATTATTAATACACTGGTAGTAATCATTGATAGTTGAATATTGCTATCATTCGAGTGGAAAAACAAATTAAAGAATAATTCAAATAATTAAAATTCAAGCAAGAAATCCAACTATGTTTGTATGTACCCAAATAATTTAGTATCTAGCTCAAATATAAATGTAAAAGTATAGATGAATCGAAACCAACCCAACTTTATTACTTTTGTAAATTTTATTACATGTGTGATCTTCTGATCATGCAATATATTTACGTAATATCACTATGATGCACACACCTCTACAGTCGGAGATATGCGCACTCGTAAAAATTAATGTATGCCACATACTTGTTGCTCTTAGATATAAAACGCGTTCGCGATGCTTATCCAAAAATTCACATAGCCGTAACGTAACACAGATTGGCTTTTATCGTTAATACTGTACGTCACGCGTACCAATTGTCGACGTACGTTTTATATACCTGAGATAAGTTTCGCCGGAAATGCGTCACGAGTAACTTCTTTTGTACTTCGGGTCAGTTCGAACAGATACGGATGGAAATTCTTTTCCGTGTCCGGCTCTATCGAATCTGAATTCTTTTCTGTCAAACAGGTTTTACCACGAAAATTCTTCGTGTATCGACGTTACCATACCTAAAAGACAATTTAGAAATGTTTTCTTAAACTTCAAATACAAACCATATGCTTGTCATTAACATAAATATATCATTTTCAATATTACTTATCAATCATTGTATTATGAAAAGTAATGTAATTATTTCATTTGATACCATATATCTGATTCTTAAGATTTTTAAAATTGAATGTTCTCAAATGCTGGAGCCAGAAGCAGATAGAAATAATGGAATAAATATAGAACAAATATTTTTAATATTGATGAGAACAGAGTAAAGTTACTATCGTTGATAAATTCCCTATATTTCACTGATTAAAGTCATGGAAGTAGCGGTATTCTAAAAACATATAATCCAATGAAAGGAAGTACAGTTATTTCATTCTAATATAGAAAATAAGGCATAAAGTAGTAGACCGGAAGTAAGCATAGAAGATAGTGTGTCACGATGTCACGCCGAGCACAGCAAATGATTTAAAAGTTTGTTATTATTTACCTTGGCGAAAACCAGGATGCTATTCCTATACGATTATTTGCGAACGTGCGATATTATCCATAAAGTTAATCCTTCGTCGAAGAATATCAGGCAATGATTCAAACTGTTTCAAGGTATTTCAATCTTAATTGACGTCAACGGCAAATAAGCACAGGTTGGCCAATATTCACAAGTGACTGCGAAACGTGGTGGCGGTTACTCATGAAAACAAATATTTCTGTATTTCTGTCGAGAAATACCAAAGTGTCATATGAGGAAGAAAGTACAATCTACTTCAATCCACTTAATTAACAACTTTAAGTACCGTTTAAATTCGCTTCAAACGATCGTGATGATATACGTGATCAAATTGACGTACAATTTTTATAACTTTTTGACAACGACATTTTTGTCACACCTTATACAAAAAAAGATACTGAACAATAACGAATCGCGGTTTTGGACAACAAAATGAAAAAAATTGTAGATCTTTCGTAAAAATCTTCAAGCTCGATCTGACTGAGAATATGAGCAAGTTTTACGTATTAGGTATGTAGAAAGACTACCAATAGCGACTCTATCGTGCATCTTTCGCCCAATCGAAAGGTGAGGTTAGTTCTCCCACTCGCGATGGAAAATATTACGCTACGAAAGGTACGTATTGTACGTATAAATGTGCAACCGAATTACATTATTTTTTTTGTATCTATCACTACAAGTCCATTTCTTATATGTAGATCAACGTTGAACACATACCAATTTCGTTATATTTCACCGAGGGACAAGAGGAAGACAAGGTTAACGAACATAAATTGTATATGATCGCGATCGAACAACTAAGCCAAAGAGATTGCACGAACTGTCGACGATTATGACATCATAACCTATCACCGACTCATCTCAAAAACAATTGTGAAGTCATCGTTTTATCACGCTATTTTGCACTTTTTCAGAGGATAGAAAGTCTGTTGCCGTCTATCTGTCTATTGTATATCTGTCTATTGTAAACCATGCCTTCAGTCTCTTTTCTATTTGCACTCTTAACCACCTTCAGTTTCTTTCGTAGAAATAACCACGTCATTAAGTTTACAATGAAAATCCAACCGTTGATCCAGTTATAAAAGAGAAATAATATCATGTACGTTATGACTTACCGGTTTTCAGTCGATCGTCACATTTTCTTGTGTTACTAGCCGGCCGAGTCACGTCGTTGTTCTGACACTAACGAACTTTTTCACGAAATATTTACAGGGACACAAAACACTGTGAATCAAATGATCACACCATGGCGCGCAACAGCAGCCTGCAGGCCATCTTGAAGCCACCGACGAGGCACGCACACAATAAGCCCCGTCGTATCAGGCACATACGGTGTAAGGTCCTCCCAGAAGGACGGAAGACGATCAAGTGAATGCTCCGTAAAGTGGCGGCCATGATGGCGCCACTTGTCGAACCTTTTAAGCTTCAACGAAATTCATCCTACAATTCTAAAGTCAATTCGTTTCATTGCATACAATACTCGCTGTAACACGTGACCTTCTTTTCCTGTAATTGCGCGAAATAGAAGTTACGTTTCACAACGGTATTTAGTTTGGAAAAAATGCTCGAATAGAATCAAAGTGATAATTCCTTGCGCGGCAGTAACGATGGCGCCACTGACTGATCGCGTGTACGATGACTGATAATAATTGTCTATTTCTCATAGTGTTTAGGTAGTTCATAAAAATCAAGAATGAATAGCTGATCATTTTATAATGAAAATTGTGATTCACCGTTGCATAACAGGTGTTCATAATTTTTTTCAACTACGGCGTTAGTCACGAAGGTATAGTACATTTTCAACATTGCGAAGGTTGATCGATTTTCATTAAACGACTCATACATATTTCTAATATTTTTACACGGAACTAGATCGAATATCGTTGACTTAACTAGAAAACAAGTCTGGAAAATAATTTGATACATGTGCGTGTAGTATACATATTAAGTTTTTGGTTTAAAAAAACGTTATCCGTATTGTTTCGATGTATTTTCTGATTAAAATTATATAGTACAGTTGACCTGAAAGAACATCAACTGTTATCCATCTCGATTTCTTATCTCATATAAAGTAAATAAAAATGGCAGGATAATGTCTTTTTCCTCTTGACATTTAACGATTTTCTTTCAGAGCATCTTTTCTATCTAATTCACAACTTTCTTAAATAGATTTTATTCGAGCACTAAACAGTGATATCTACACTCTACAACAAACATCTCTGTCTGTTTCGTCGTTGGTGTAACGTCTGCACACTTTTATTATTATTTAACGACCAGTGTCATTAGGAATTCTATACGAATAATATAATAATAATAGTCGTTATTGCTTGCCACTTTAACGGCGTCGTTGAATTTTTTTTACAATATTCCATCTAGATTTGTCGAAGCACGGAAAATTCTAAAAATAAGATCCGATAAATTAAGGGGTCATTGTTAATTAGGAATACTTCCGTTCTTCGTATAGAACTCTGCGTTTGATTATTCCCGCAAAAAACTGGATATATTCTTGGCACATCGTAGTAAACTCTTAATAAACGCATTATGTATATAAATAAGTTATACAATCGATGGCTCAA